CAATCTTCCAATACAAAAAAGAAGAAAAAAGAAACACCTCGCTAATGCACACACATGCAGCCAGCCCCCTCATACATATCCGCAGCCAGAGACCACCCACTCAAATACTTACACAGTTCATCATAGACGGCTGAGCTTTAGTCTGTGATGAACACAGCATCTGTTATCTTCCTCATTGAGCCAATACTTGAGACAGACAGCGTGCTGTATGTATCTTCTCTCTCTTTTCTTACACTATGACTCATTTTAGGGCTACAGAAAATAATTTATGGCCTCTCATGCGCTTTGTGGAAGGCAAAACTATGAATAAGGCTTCAAGGAGTAAATACTTCAGCAGTGTGAAATCCTCTGTGTTCACAGTCCAGTGTTGTAATTTGATTTCAAAGTTATTGCCTTGGTCAGTAACTGCTCAATTATGTCCATTTTGTGCAGAACAATTTATTTTCATTTGAGCTCAATTACCCATTGAGTACTGTATGTCTGTGAGGTTACAACAATGAAGAGTGTGTTGATGTGAAAAATTATTATTTGTGATATTGACTGCGGTGGCGTTTGGAGTCTTATTTTTCCTGTATATTTCATGAAAGCTGACTTGGTTTTAAAGGTTTTAAAAGTCCACAGCAGGTTGAGTTTTCGCTCTCTCTACCATTCTCTTCAAGAACAGAAAAATGATTTTGGTTGCAATTTGATTTTCGCACCTCATCACAGCTTGGCGCATGTTGAGGTCTATAAAAGATTGCAAAGGGATTGCAAAAAAGTATCTGTATGTTTCATGTCCTTTGCAGAACTGAAGGCTGTGCTCCTGCGGGTCTGAACCTTTAGGAAAGTTATTTAAAGAAAAACACCTCTTGGAGTGAAAAGGTTATTACAAGGATATAAATTGTTTTTCCACTACTTTATTCATTTACACTGCATGCTCACTTACATGTATCTTTTGAAATGCTCTTAAAATCCCCCCCTCGGCTGTCTTTTTCCGTTCATTAAGTGTCATTTACTAAACCAAAATCATTACCTGCTGTTACCATTTACCCCTGTTTTTAGGTGTTGAAGTTGGATGTCACAATGTGTTCTCTTCTGCTTTCTGTGCTAATAAAAAACTACCACTGACAAATGAACGGTTTGACTCCCACACTCTGTTTTTACAGGAGCCACAACAAGACATGTTTGCTTCAGTGCAGATCTGAGGGGCGATTTGAGCTTCGCAGCGTGTGTCATATGTGCCAGAATAAATACTACAGAGAAAGAAAAAGAAGCTGTCCCTGCAGATCTAATAAGCCACCTCTCTTCCTCATCCTTACACCCTTTTTCCTATTTCTGTCCATCATTTGTGTCTTATCATTTACCTCCATCTCTGTCTGTTTGCCTTTCTCTCCCTCAAACCCTCATCCCTCTTCTTCTCCTCTCTGATAATGTAAAAGGTACTCAGCTTGAGCCTCAGCTCTACAGTAAGATCAAGAGGACATAAAGCTTTTTTTTCCAAAGCATGATCAAAAGCAGTATTTTTTTGGCAACGCAGCTACAACTCATTTAACTCCTCGTCTATATTGGCTCCAAGTCCGAAAGGGAATCATAACATGTTTTGTTCTGGAGGTTAATTAGTAGCATGAATGAGCCCTGGCTAGTCCTTTTCGGCTTTGTAATGGAAATCTGACTAATGGGAGATCTGAGGAAGCCAGCTGGGCAGCAGAGGAGCATGCTGGGAGAGATCTGCAGTGTGAAGTTGAGGCCACACTGTGAGTAAATCAAACATCTCTTATTATTATCATTATGCGCACTGCATGACATGTGAGTGTGAGTGTCTGTGTATGAGAATAATAAAATTCTTTTCCTGATTAATTCGCAGCAAATGTCACCCCCCCACACCTATACACACACACACACACACACACACTGCTAACTCACTCTTTGCAGTGGAGTTAGGATCTTGAATGTCCACCAAGAATAAATGTCCACAAATCTAATTATATGTAATGATTGTGGCTCATCAGATTCAGGCTATTTCTTGAGTATTTAAAAGTAATCCAGGTGGTTATTGTCTTTAAAGTGTGAATGGGAACAGCTAGTAGCCAAAGCAGCACGACTTTCCATGAGGCAGATTAGTCAAGATGTAGACAAACATAAACCTTGTGGTGTTTTAAGTTATATGTTAAGATATTCAGCGAGGTTCATTCTCAATAACTTTTGATCAGTTTTGACCAGGTTTCTTATGCAGTGCAAGAAAATTTTGACTGATGTTTCACAGGTGTTATTTTTAGATGGTACTAGAGATGATAGTGCAGAGATATGCCAAGAGGATGAACCCTGGCGACTATAGTGATCCTCTGACTTTTCTTCTGGCGCCACCAACAGGTCAACATTTTCATTTATTCAGTGAAATATCTCAAAATTTGATCAACTGAAGATTTTGTGCAGACATTGAATAGTAATGCTGATTAGTTTGAAGATACTCTGACCTTTCCTCTAGCTACACCAGCAGGTCAAAGTTTTGATTGGTCCAATACTTTGGTTTATGACCCAAAACCTCCCATCAGCCTCAGCTGTAGAGTGTATTTACTGATAATTAAATACACTTAATTCAGTTCTGACTTGTATTTTTTAGATTTCGACCTGTATCATTAACAGTTACACAGCTTTTATTTAAACACAGCTTGGACTTATAGGGTTCAATTACAAATTATGCTTTGTTCTTTGACTAACTTGATTAACTACATGGTTACTTTTGTATATTTCAAGCATTAACGGCAGTAGAAAACAATGCAACATAGAGGCATTCTGGACAATTTCTAAAACATCTTCCAGTAAAAACCTGAAGAATACCCAACTACAGATATATTGTAAATACAGATATTTAAAAACACTGTTTATTGTTGATAAAAGCAAGTTTAGCTTTTCAGTAACTTACCTTCTTTGTTTTGTCCATTGCCTTCAGTATGGACATGTTCAGGTCTTCTAAGGCACCGAGAACATTCTCATATTCACAGAGGTGCTGGGAGAAATACTCTTCACAGCAGAAAGACAAAAAAAAAAAAAAGAAAAGAAACATTTTGTGAGTTACACAGCTAGGACAGGGCTGTAGGTGTTTTGTTGAAGCAGCATTGGTGTGACATCTCAGTCACAGCCTGTAGGGGTTTTACCATAGAGCATGTGACCACATCTAACATGGTTCTTTCCTTATGCTGGGAAAACGTCAAATAGCATTTGAGTCCATGGTGCTCCAGACTGGGAGGTAAGTTAAGTAAGATATAACTGATATTAAAAGTTCTTATTTAGGTGAAGGAACAACTTACCACAGAGTTCATCTGTGTCCACGTTGCTGCAAAACAAAAAAAAACACAAGAATCAAGAATTAATTCCTTAAAGACTAAAGTTTCCGAGGTTAACAGACAAATCTTTCATCTCTGCTAAATCTCTTCCTGGACAGACAGATTTGGTGAATCAGTGTGTGATGACTAATGGAGCAAGTATAAATATGTCATGAATAATTTAATAATTTGGTGGCTTTTTTCCCCCGAGGTGTGCGTTACAGACCAATGGGCCTGACAGTGAATCCCTCACGGAGAGAGACAGAAACAGAGAAATAAAGACAAGAAGAGTAAAAGGTGAAGGGAATGTTTCCAAGTGGAAAATTAGCCATTGTATCCCTGCACAGCAAGAGACATAAAAGAGACATTGTTACAGTAAAAGAGGCTGTGGAATTACACAGGTTTTAACTCTATTCCACACAGGCTGTAGCTGTCGTTCACAAGGGGAAAAGTGCCTTCGCAATCAATTGGTTCAAACAGGAGAAAACACTCAGGACCACAGAGGACAGACAAGAACAGAGGAAGCAAACCAGAGGTTAGGAACTAAAGTGAGAAGCAGACTAAAAAGCTTTTACTTGTGTGCCTTGCAACATGTTTTGACATATTAAGGTAAATTATCAATTAATGGACCACACGCAAGTTAAACACTGAATACATCTGTATTATACGTGTACAAAACATAATAGATGATAATGAAAGCATATTAGAAATCATTAGAATGTACATGTACTTACTATCAAACAGAAATATGATTATTAAAACTACAAATCCTTCATCCACAAATTAAACAATTTGTAAGATCTGTGCATTTTCAAATTTGAAAGATCGGGTAATCAGTCAGTGTTCGACATCAAGCTGCGCAGGTGCAGCCTGTCAGGCAGACCTTGCAGCTTAGTGACTCATTATTTAATCAATAGAGGATCTAGTTTGAGACTTTCAAATTACTTCTTACAAACTTTACCATCTGCCAGGGAGGAACATGTTCGCTGTGGTTTAACATGGAGCCCATTGAAGTTCTCTCTGATTTAACACAGCAATGGTGGCCGTGATAATAGGGAGGATAATGATAATGTCAATGTCTGTTTGCTTAAATTGTCTGCAAATGATCAGCCTAATGTGCAAATAATCTTGAAATACTTAATAAAGAACCATCTGTGTTCACAAGGCTTTGAGCCATCTTGTTTCCTCCTCATTTCTGTTGAACATTGCACATGTAAAGTACAGATTCGGCACCAGAAAATGGCGACAGATAAAGACAAAATTTATAAGCAGAAGCCCAAGCGAGCATTTCAATTATCCCGGAGCCAGGAGTTTAACTGGGTGGCAATACAGGATGTTAGAGAAACTTTAATTATGCATTGCGCAGTTTGTACGTTTCTGAAAAACAATCACTGTCTCGCTTACAGCTAAGAGGGTCTTTGTTGTTATCTGATAATAAATATAAACTATTTGTTTAGGGGCACAAGTACAAATTTACATTGTGCAAGTGAAACTAGCCTAAAAAAAAAA